AGCAAGACACTTTGACATTGATTGTGGTATGGTAAGTCGTTGGGTAAGTGCAAGTTCAAAATGGACAAGCGAAACAAAGGAGAAAAGTAAGCGGGTTGGTGTTAATGATGATAATAATCATGATGACGATAATACCACTGACTTCGTCATTGGCGAGAATGATTATTATTGACATCATTGATGAGACGGATTAATCTTTTCCGACAATTTTATAATTTTTTTATTGTAATAATAAAGTAATCAATTTTTCCGAAGTGTTGCTTATTTCGGAACCTATGTAAAGCAGGTGTTGTTTATTTTCGGAATCTATGTAAAACAGGTGTTGCTTATTTTCGGAACCTATGTAAAACAGGTGTTGCTTATTTCGGGTGTTGCTTGTTTTCGGAAGAATACGGTAATTCTGCAAGATTCCGTAATGGATTACAACAACTTATTCAGTCATATTAATATACAGTACAATTGAAAACTTTTTCAATTGTGATAAACTGCACCTTTATCGCCCTGTAACAGACGAAAGAAAGCAAAAGATCGCGTACGCTAATGTTTACTATAAGTGCTACAGGAGAAAAATTGAAACCTCTGTAGGTCCATAAATATCCCCACTCAACGGAATTGACAAGGTACTCTGGCAGGTCAATATTATTGGAACTTGACCACACTTCAATTTTCAATCACTGGTTTGTAAACTTGGTAAAACTACGCAAATTACGTTGAAGCATTCTGTTACTGTAGACCACATAGGATCAATTGTGATACCACGTTTTCGAATATTGCGGTATATTTACCTCCTACTTTTGCGGCATATCCTCAGCAGTGTGATGCCGGGATTATATAGTTTCAAAATCCAACATCGAAAACACTATTGCATTGATCGAATTCATAAGTATGATAATGCTGTTGCTCAAAACCAGTCTCTTTCAGCTATTCCTCAAGCCAATTACTGATATCCTATGGAGTGTTACCAAATACAAAGTTAATCAATCGAGGAGTTATAATGGAAGTGGCTGAGTTTGTTAATTCAAACATTGTCGGGCGGAAGACTTCCCAATTGTCAAATCCACTTCTCATAATCAGCCCTTGAGCATGTCAATTCTTTGCTTTGTATCTTATTGTTTAACTCTCGCATCTTTTCATTAGCCTGTCTTGTTCTTTGAAACTTTAGAACTTCACCTATCAGGATGTCAATTTAAGGCTAGGCTTTTGATATTTGTTCGAGAGTAGGTGAAACGACCTTTGATGTCATAATAAGAAAATAATAAAAGCTCATAGCTCAAAATGCAGAAAGCGTTCTTGAGATGAATATATTACTGTTTTTCGTGTGAGCGAAATAGTTTGTTACTAACAGTCGGGACGTGTTCTACCATAGGGTGTGGACGCTTTCTATTAAATTTGTAAATTATTATTTATAACAATATAAATAAGTGTCAATGTAGTCTGTTTATTATTATGCCTTTTATAGTCAGATTAATTATATCCTCAGTAGTACAAGACATTTGTTATTAAATTAAAATATGGTGTACTACCTTATAATCGGTTTATCGAGTTTATCGATCCATATTAATGCATTAGTATTATCAGTTTTACGAGGAATTTAATATAAATTGAGCAAAGTTCTACAATTAAACAAAGGGAAACTTACTAATAGATCATAATCAGTTCTGTTCCACGATAAAATGTTCTATATAGGAAATTGTGGGTTCTTTTATGGAGGTTCGATTGGATTGTATGTATCATCATTATTATCATCATTATTATATTATTACTATTATTACATTATCAGCCAAGATCGACTATACACAGATGGGCGCCGAGGAATACTTGTAACCAAACTCGTACAATTGCGCATGAAGTTCTGTGCGCACGGCTGCCTGGCACGTAAGATCGATCAACCTTAATTAGGAAAGCTTTGACTATTAGTATTTATATACTGATACGCCTGTAAACTAATCTATCTGACTCTTTATTCCCTTCGAATATTGTCAAAGATGGATATGTCGTGGATCCACGTACTACCTCCTGCGCTAACAGCATGTATCAGTTCTCTGATATTAACCATACAACTACGCAAACAACATACTTTCGATTCTATTCTATTGTCTGGTGATTCACCCGACGCGGGAGTCCGCTTTTCAACTGTAAAGAGGGATACAACGGTTGTTGCTGTAACTACTTTACAAAGCGCGTTGTTTGCTTTTTTAGTTGGTTTTCGACTTGGCGCTACTTTAGACGGTGAAGTGAGGTTGAATCCCAAATACGCAGGCGTGTTAGCCATTTGTTGGGTGAGTTTTGACAATGGTAAAATTTAGTGACTTGGAATAATGGCGCAGTAAACGAGAGATCATTGCTGTTATTTGATTTATGTATCTATCGCTTTGGACTGAACCTCCGTGATTTTAAACAAGTTTTATGCATTAGTGTTAGCTCTTCTCGCTTTAAGACCAAAGGGGAGGAAATGGGCATGGACACTTAATGGCCACCTTACCGCATTCTTTGCCGTTTCTTGTTTATCGTCAGTGTGGCAACTTCGAGTAACATACATAGAAACAACTGATACCGATTTCCTGGAGAGGCTGTTTGCGACCTTAAATGTCATATTATCATTTACTTCACTGTCAATAACAATAACTACACCTAAAGGGCCACCATTGTATTGCGATGGTCGACCAGTGACTGGGAGTAGCTATTGTTCGCTCTGGGATTTTATCACATTCTCATATGTTTCTTCTCTGTTGAAGACGGCTTATCTGCAGGACACGTTAGACGATTCGGATTTGTATCAGCTTCCCTATAGTTATCGTGCATTTACGCTGTACCATAATATCAAGAAATGGAGAGGGTCGCACTTGTTTATTAGGTTATGGCATGCCAATAAGAAATTGATTCTGTTGCAATTGTTGTTCACTGCAACTGGGGCAATGCTGTACTATATGCCTATTTTTTTCTTCTTGCGCTTTTTGGAGTTTTTCGAAGAATATCCCACATACGATAACTCATTAGAAAGAGGATATTTATATGCTATTGGTATGTTGTTAACAAATATCCTCCTCCAAGTGAATGTAGCTCAATTATGGTATTGGAGTTCAAGTGCTCTACAAATCAGTGTAAAGTCAATGTTGAATGCAGAGATATATTCGAAGAGTTTGAAACGACGCAATGTGAGCGGTGCTACTCTTGAAACGGATGACGATGATGACTCAGAAGTCATCGAAGATGCAGATGTGGACAATAGCACCAAGATTATTGACAAAGAAGCTACATTAGGGAAGATTACTAATCTAATGGCGGTGGATACTAATCGTGTGGCCGAATTCTGTACATGGTGGATAAGCGTTGTCGATAGTCCTATTGAAATTATTGTTGGAACTTATTTTTTATATCAATTGCTGGGAAGTGCCTGTCTCTTCGGATTATTGGTTATGATATTTACGTTACCGGTTAACCATTATACGGCTAAGCATTATGCTAAAACACAAGATCGCTTAATGAAAGCACGTGACCGAAGGATTAATTTGATGAACGAGGTAAAACAAGCATATTGGATGTAATTATTGTGACAAATGTCACGGTTGCTAATTATTTCAATTGCAGGTCTTACAAGCAATCCGTATTATTAAAATTTTTGCATGGGAGACCAGTTGGGAAGATAAAATACTGGTTTTGAGGGATGTTGAACTTAAAGAACTACGCAATAATTTTATATATCTCACTATGTTTGATCTACTATGGATGGCATCTCCAATATTGGTGGCCGTAGTCTCCGTGAGTACCTTACGTGATCCTTCATCCGTACTCGCATATCATTTAACAACTACTTTCGTCTACCGTAGTTCTTTTGGTATACTAAAATCCAATCCAACCCCCTGACGACGTCGGTGGCGTTTGCTTCGATCGCTGTATTTAATGAACTCCGATTTGCTCTGAATATTCTACCAGAAGCTGTTATGGAAGCTTTACAGGCATATGTTAGTCTTAACAGAATAGAGAAATTTCTTAAGGAAGATGAAATCAAACCGCCTACTGATGAAGACCTCGAAAACTTTGATCGAATTGCATTTGTGGATGCTACCGTAAAATGGAATCAGAGTGAAAACAAAGCTGTTAGCAACGGGGATTTAAGGAATGAATTCATTATGACTGAACTAAATCTCGAGTTTCCTGTAAGAGAGCTCAGTATAATATGTGAGTAGGTTTGTAACATGTTATTAACTGAAAGTATGAGGACGTTAACAAATTTATACTACAGGTGGACCCACAGGATCAGGGAAGGTACGTTAACAGAAGCATTTTAAACGTCATGTCAAGTTTAATGCATTAATCTTTTATTTATTTAGACATTACTGTTGATGTCATTATTGGGAGGTATGGCCGGACATTCGTGCGGAGTAGGTGTTAATTTGATATTTTACTAATATTGGTCTGTATTATTTTATCAGAAACGGAAAGGGTTACCGGCAACATATATTGTCCGCGCTCCCCAGTCGACAACACAATTTTATCCGACAATATTACTCCTGAAAACTGGATTATTGAGAATGGCGTTGCTTTGGTTGCTCAACAGTCATGGCTACAGAATGCTTCTATCCGTGATAACATTCTCTTTGGCTTGCCATATCACGAAGCCCGCTATGTACAAGTTGTCAAAATGTGTGCATTAGAGAAAGATTTGGAAATGTTTGAAGACGGAGATTTGACCGAGATAGGCGAGAAAGGTTTGACTTTATCAGGTGGACAGAAGCAGAGAGTGGCATTGGCAAGGGCCGTGTACTCAAGAGCAAGACATATATTATTGGATGATGTGCTGAGCGCTGTAGATGCTCACACTGCTATGCATCTGATGAGCGAATGTATTATGGGGTCATTGATGACAGATCGAACTAGGATAATAGTGACGCATCATGTGAATCTTTGTTTACCTAGTGCTTCATACCTGGTGCGTATACTCTACTGTCGGACTTTTTTTTCGATTGACGTTTGATGACTGTTTACTTCTTAGAAAACTTTCATATTTACGATGCCGATCATAATCTCTTTTCTATCGTATCTATTAGGTAGCTGTTAGGGATGGGAGCGTTCATCACTGTGGAGATATAGATAACTTACGCGAGTCTGGTAAACTCGCAGAAATTATAGAAGAAGTTGAGGAGAATGCTGAGGTTAAAGCAACGGTGATCGATTTGGAATTATCAGATGACATTGATAAGACACTTTCCCACGAACAAATAAATGGAGACATATCCTCGTCCCAAACTAATAAGAAAAAGAGTACTGGACCAAAGATTCTCGTTGAAAAAGAAGGTAAACACAAAGTCTGTCTTAGTTTTTTTTTAAAAAGATGACTAATTGATAACATTAATAGCTCGTGCAACTGGAGCGGTTAGATTCAAAATTTATAAAACGTATATAACAACAACGGGTCATATAATTTTTTGGTCAATCGTCGCCCTTTTGTTCGTCGCCACACGCAGTTCACAAATTCTAGAAAGCTGGTGGCTCAAAGTATGGACTGGTGACACAGAACAACCAAAGTCATTTGGGTCTCTATCTATAAGCATGCGCCAGGTTGACTGGGCTCTTTTCGAACAAATACACATTGGTTCTGAATTAAATATTGAGCGCACAAATCACGATCTTACATACTATCTGACCATTTATACGTTGATAACGCTTGCGTCGGTTGTATTTGGAATAGCCCGATTTGCAGTGTTGTACTATGGATCATTGAAGACGTCGAGGTTACTGTACAAAAAATTGCTTAAACGAATTATGAGAGCTCCGTTAAGATTTTTTGATACTACACCAGTTGGAAGAATATTAAATAGATTTAGTAAAGATTTTGAGACTATCGATGGAAACATAATTGGTGAGCGTCATCCAATCTGCAAAAGATTCAGCGGATGTCACTAATGACACCAACTAACTCATTGTGCTCTGGTATGTACAATATAGGTGATTTAGCATGGTTTATGAATAATACCTTGATGATGGTGACGACTGCTATGGTCATAACAGCTATCACAAAAGGTATTTAATTTACATTGTACTGGTCGGAAAATTTTAGCAATTTTTATTCAATCTGTTTATTAAACATCAACAGAATTCATAATTGCGGCTGTAATATTTGGTAAGTAATTAGTCTATTCGTAACAGTCTTCAATGAGATTCACTATTTACTGTATTGTACCATTATTGTAGGGATCATATTTATGGTCGTTGGAGCATTGTTCACTAGGGCGTCACGCGAACTGAAGCGAATGGACTCTGTCACTCGATCTCCACTTTATACTCATTTCACAGAAACTCTGGCGTATGTATACATACACACATAGATATTTGTTTATCTATTTATTGAGCATTTCTCCTAAAATCATGCATATGGGCTTTCTCACCTATGTCTTAAATTGTGTACAGAGGAGTGACAACGATTCGAGCATTTGGAGCAACAAAACGCTTTATGGAAGAAATGCTTACTCGGTAATACAAATAACTTCCTTAAATCCCTATCACTCCTCCCGTTCTATCTAACGAACATTTGATCCTAGAATCGACAATAACGCTCGCCCATTCTTCTTTGTTTGGTTAATCAATCGTTGGCTTTCAATGCGATTCAATGTGACTGGGTCTTTTGTCTCGTTCATAGCAGCAATCTTTCTATTGTGGAATATCGATAGTGTGGATGCTGGTCTTGCTGGTTTATCTTTATCGTTTGCTATGAATTTTACCGAACAACTGATGTGGGCAGTACGGCGATATACTACATTAGAAATGAGTATGAATGCAATGGAGAGAGTTGACGAATTTTCCGAAATCGCGCAAGAGCCACCAGAAATTGTGCATCCGAGACCATCAGCAGGATGGCCATATGAGGGTGCGATAACAGTAGAAGATTTAGAAGTCAAGTATGCCCCAGATTTAGAACCTGTACTGCACGGAATCTCGTTCGAGGTTGGAGGTGGAGAGAAAGTTGGAATTGTCGGAAGGTGAATTTCGCTTTTTTAGCGGGTGGTGGGGTTTGGTTTGTTGATATCGGATTTTAACTTGATTCTATTGTTTAGGACTGGTTCAGGAAAGGTGAGTAAATCTTAAGCGCTTTATTGACATTTTATATAATACATCTTAAGTTACATGGCTGATCAACGATATCTGGCAAACTGTATGCTGTTTCTGGATGATTACGTTTCTAACTGCATTCTTTCTTAGTCCACTATCGCTCTTGCGTTCTTCCGGTTTGTTGATACGTCTGCGGGACGAATTACAATTGACGAGATTGACATTGCTTCAATTGGCGTGCATGACCTTCGATCAAGAATGACCATAATACCGCAAGACCCGACGCTGTTTACAGGTCAGCAATTTTACGGGATTAGGACGGGGACGAATGGGAACTTCTTTGTAAATAGTTTTTCTCATAATTCTTGGTTCTTATCACTTTATTGACTTTGATATGATTATTAGGAACTATAAGATCAAACCTTGACCCTTTTGATGAACACTCGGAACATGCGATTAGGGAAGCCTTAGAGCGTGTGCAGTTACTTCCGAGTGCAGGAGAGATTACTGAAGATTCAACAGCATTTGCCAGCGCTAGTGTATTCCAGAGTCTAGAGACACCCGTAAGCGAAGGGGGAAAGAATTTCAGTCAGGGACAAAGACAACTGCTTTGTTTGGCGCGAGCTTTATTGAGAAGATCAAAAATTATTCTTATGGATGAAGCTACGGCTAGGTAATAATTGAGGTTTTCTTTTAAATCAATATATCCTTGTTAATGCTTAACTATCTATTATAGTGTTGACTTTGGGACCGATGAGAAGATACAAGAAGCAATTAGAAGTGAATTTGTTGACTCTACTATACTGTGTATTGCGCATAGATTGAGAACAGTGATTGATTATGATAAGATACTTGTGCTTGGTAAGTGTTTTTAGGATTACGTCAATTAACTCAGAGTTGTTGGAGTCTGACTATACCGATGGTATTATTTAGATCAAGGAAAAATTCTAGAATATGACAGGTGAGGTTATGTGACCATGAATGACACTATTTCGAACAACTGTTTTAACATTTGTTACGATTTTCTAGTCCTTATAATCTTATCACCAATTCACAATCTGCCTTCTATAAAATGTGCAAGAATTCGGGTGAATATGAACTGCTACTGTCGAATACCAAAGGTGGTCAGGTATCGGAAGCCGAGGAAAACACGAATTCTTAATGACAGCATTACAACTAATCATAGAATACACTCGAATAATAGAAGGGAACCAAATGGATGCCATATAAATAAACCACGCAATTTTTCTTGTGATCTTTTAATTGTTCCCATTCTTCTTATGGACAATTTTCTAATTAATAGTTCGGATAACGCGGCAATGCAAACCCTATTTGATCTTTTTCTCTATCAAATACCACCTAGAACAAGTAATGACAAATTAGTAGGCGTCAACGGATCCAATAATTTAGAAAACATTGCATGTCGATAGACTTACGTATACATTCTTCAAGAATGTGCCACCAAGAACCCAAGTCTAGTGAAAATAAAATAACATCAGATTACTCTTTGTTAAATAGTCTGACAACCAACCGTAGTCCGACTAATGTTGTACTTACAGCTTGGCCTGTACCGGTAATGGCCGAATAACAGGTGTTACCTCGGATTTTCTCCCTCACCAAGTCAGAAGCTAGTAAATCCACGAATTAGATAAGTAATATAATTTTTTGATTATTATTATACATACGGATTAAGTACTCACGATTGATACTGAATGAGGCTCCTCCAATTTTGATGACCAGTTTGTTATTCTGATTTCTCACGGCATCACAAGGAAGTGTCCAATATCCTGATTTGGGGTCAAAATTTCCACCCAATTTGGAATGAATGGCTTGAGCAACTTGAGTGCCGACAATAAGCATGGTAGCCCCGGAATCGACAATCACTTGTTGTTTTACTCCTCCAAGCGACTTGCCGGCTAAATTAATAGAATCAATTGCGATTTGCCAGAAGAGTTTTTTGGTCACAGGAGTGTATACGATATTCCCTAAATAAAGATTCGGGTCAATGCCGCCAAATATGATTATTCCACCTAAACGCGAGCCGAGGCGCGCTGGGCGGAGTTGGATTGAGAAAATAGCTCTCGGAATTAGCTTGTTCCTGATCATGTTGGTGAAGGGTGTTACTGTTCCTTGAACCATTGAAAGTGCATCGTATCCTATAGTAGATGCAATAGAATGAGTCATTCATTACCAGATACGTTGTTCTATTAATAAGCTGAGTAAAATTCGTAGAATGCTTCTATAGACTCACCAAGTCCAAATATACCATCAATAAGATCCTCGGACAACGCCGCGCTCGTGGTTCGAACGGAAGCAAAGTCTTGTGAAGGAATTTTGAGGTTACCGATAGTCAAAGTATCCTTATTGTTATTTCCTTGGGATGTACTTCCATCTGCGTACCTAATTTGAAAGCGGCTTCCGACATAGCGAAAAGTCGAGCTCTTGAATGAGTTGTATCGACTGTGCGCCTTGCATATTTCTCCGCATGCGACGGATGGAACCCAAAGATCTGCTGACCCCGTATCAAAGTTCACGAGAAACGATTGACCGGGTGTACCAAGATCAATTTGACCAACCCACTGAATAACATGAACGGCAAAGCATTCAAATTGAAAGCAAAACAGCGACAATCAGTCGCATTATAGTACATTCACAACAATTTAGAGTAACAACCCAAAACCAGCTCATATTTCGTTACCTCGTTATCATTATAAAGGTTGACAACTCCTGTTGTGTAAATGCTCGGATTTGACACGGCAGCAAATGGGACAGAATCTAAGAGAGATTATGTTGCAAGTATTAATTAAGGTAGATAAACGAATTCAATCAGAATTTCTGTGCTTAATGGAACGTTTTCTCAAACATACCTTTGGGCAATCCTCTTCTAAACATGGCCTTCACAAAGAATTCGTTCGCACGCTCGTGATTTTTGGTCACCTTTGCTTTAGACTTACATTTATTCATACGGATCTTATGTCTCGCTGAGTCAGCAAGTTGACTCGTCCCAGTACTATAGACTGGCACGCGAGGAACCATGCGGATCCGAATGACGTCTTCAGATTGCTTATGCGCATAAGTAATAGAATTTATTGCCAGCAACCCAATAATGAAAATCGCATCTATTCCGAATAGCTTCATTTTTCTATGAGGTATTGAGGGTAAAATTTAAAGGAAAGGAAGTTCCAAAGAACTTCAGACTATGGGGAGGGAAGGGGAGGGGAGAACGAAGGAAGTCCGGAGACAGTATTGATGGGAGGACGGGAATAATGGAAGGGCGATAATGGATGAAGGAAAAGAAAGTGATATTGATATATGCCGAATAAATTTTTAATTAATTTTAATTTCCCCGTTGCACAAGTTAATTAACGTACCCGTTAATACGAATTGTTATTATTCCGTACATCCAGCCGCATGGGTCAACAGGTCTGTTTGGTTCCTTTAGCATTTCGGGACAGTTGAACAAAATTATGTTTAACGCTGCATCAAGATTGATAACTGCTTTGGGTCTGAGAGAGGAAACAGGGGATGATGGTTCGGCGAAACAAAAACAAAACGATGATGAGCAATCCTCAAAAGAAATAATACCCAATGTCTCAATAATAACACCTGATGACCACTCAGGTTCTTCTGACAATCGTAAGTGTCTTCTCTTTTCACAAGCCTTCTTACATGTAGACGTACGATTCGCCAACCGTCTTTTGTTACCTCCAAAGCTCCTACTCAGTTTCCCCTCCTTGGTAGTCCTCAACGCATTCGTAGTCCGCTGACACCACTTCAAAAGGCGACTAAGCAAAGACGAAAAGTTGCTCTTGAGCCTGGCCACTCTGCTTTAGATTGGGCCAGGTTGAAGTCTTCGGGAGTGGACCTTACGGAGGGTGCAAGAGGAATGAAGAAGATTACTATGGAAGAAGTGCAGCGTCATCGGACAAAGGCTGATGCGTGGACTGTGTTAGGTGGTAAGGTGTATAATATTACGCCGTACTTGAAGTTTCATCCTGGAGGTATGTGAACGGAAAATATACCGGAGATGAAGATTTGCTCGAATGATAGCAGAATAACCATGTTTCTTTTGTCTGCAGGTGTTGGAGAAATAATGCGTTGTGCTGGAAGAGACGGGACGGTATTATTTAGTAAGTATACATGTGAATTTCCTTTTCTGACGAGATTATCGGAAATAACCCATTGTTTATCTCCTAGTGGAAATACATTCATGGGTAAATTACGAACTGATGCTAGATAAATGTCTCATTGGATATCTCCTTGGGGACAGTGCAAGACTTCTAACTTAATATTATCATTGAAATGACCCTGTCGTTCACAATAATATTTATTACGATCGTATACAAAATTAACACTGAGGATTATGAGTCATGGATACGCATTACGTTGCTTAGTCTATATTTTTTCCTTGTTCCCTTAATTCTTGTTTCTCTTCATTGCTAAGTGACCAAAATGATTGTTTTCGCTTGTCAACCCAACGGCGTATCTGGCGGTAATATTTTACGCATTTAGTCATGATCCATAGTAATATAAAGACGATTTTTGTTAATAGAAAGACTGTCGTTAAAAGGACATACCGGCATGAAAACGTGGTCATCCTGATTCCAGTCATGATAGAGAACCATATACACTGTAATGCCTTCAGCACGAAGAATTCATATGAAAAGCTAATTCGCCTCAAATGCATGCTGTGTCGTTGATCCATGTTATCATTAGCTCACCTGCGCAGAGCACAAGCGACCCAACCTTAAGATGCCTGAACCACGGTTCTCCACCGAGATCTTCTATTCGGGCTGTTCGCCTATTTAATGTCCTTATCTGGTTGTCAGTTAGGCTGCTCAAGCGATATCGTAATGGTATATGCCGTCGTGAGCCAGATTGCGATACATTAGATTCGGGCATTTGATGCGATTCGAAAAGTCTGATGTTCGAAAAAAAAATTCGGCTATTTACAGTAAAGTATAGGTATTACGTACTAGTACTAGTTAACAGTAACACAAATTTAAAATAAAACTCGCGATGAATAGTGATTCTTATTTCACCATAAAAATGGCGCGCACTATGCACAACGATTGCTCGCTGAGTCAATATTGAAGAGGGAATGCTTTAATAACAATGCTCCGTTGATGTTTAAGCAATCCATTCCAGGGTCTTATTAGTCCTGCTAAGCGAAGCAAATCGAACAAGATAGACAATCGAGGTCTAATTCTTAAACATCTGTCACAAGCTTTCAGTAGAAGTCGGATATTTGTTGCCTTAAGATTTTTAAGCTTAGTCGATAGTTGAAATGTATAACAACCTTGCAGTGTTAGTTTCCGGCCTTGAGATCAAGCCCTATGTCAACCTTAATCTGAGAGCTTTCTCTTAAATATTTGGTACCTGCTGTTGTTAGGGCTTCCAGCCCACGTCTGATAGTGGTTCCGCTGCTAGTAATTCTTGATTACAATATGTCAGGCCCTAATTTCGTTTTCTAATAGCTTGTATGTGTGGCACACCGTCTGACCTTTTATTGCAATTGTTAGACACGCTACTGCAAACCTCATCAGGAGGTATTATACAAAGTTATATTAATAATAACTATCGAATTGTCATATCGATGAAGTTGTCTAACGATTTACTACGCACCGGAAGTGAATACGATTTTTGCGGAACGATACCAATATTACTATGTAGTTAGCTCAGTACATAATCGTTACTAACACAGCGCATTATCGCTCTGAAAAATTCAGCTTATACGGCGTGTCGCTTATGTTCTACAACATCACATAATATAAATGTCACACATAGCATCATTTAAAATCAAGTCGTCCTTGATTTAGCTCTTCTATAAAATACTGTATTTGGTATTTCGCGATTATAACAAGTTTGATTAGTACAGGCTTGACAACGATAGTCTGACAAACAAGACATTTGTTACTACCTGACAAGATCTCCTCAGCCCTTCTTCCAGACCAATTATCGGTTCATATCCCAAAATAGTTTTGGCCTTGGTTATATTAAAGTATCTGTTTGCGCAAGAGAACTTCACTCTAAACCTGGTAAATCCTGGCTCTTTCCCTTGTAGGTAGCTAGACCATTCAGCTAAGCTCGCAAGAGTCAGCCCAACCGATCTCGGCATTTTAATAACAAATGGAGGGTAATGCTTAAACTGCGCCCATGTAAATCTAAGGAAATCCCAGAATGGGACCGGGGCTCCATTAGTTATTAGAAAGGCCTAATATGGGAACAAGCCAATAATGTTAACTACTAAATAACGGATGTGTGTTTACACCTCACTACAAATTCCTACCTCTCCGCCAATTTTATTGTCAGGCGCCATCTTGTCAGCAGCGAGAATGTGTGCATATGCCACATTCTCCACGTATGAATAGTCAAACAGGTTAGAATTATCTCCAATTTGAAACTTAGTTTGCCCTCTTTTTACTACGGCAATTATACCAGGTATTAAGGTTCTGTCCTTAGGACTATAAAGTACCAACAGTCGATACAACAAAATATTAAATACATTTGCTTGTTATATTGAATATAAACGATTTCTTGATGTCTTACCCGAATATAGCAGAAGGACGAAGAGCGCAGGTCAAAAGATTGTTTTTTCCATTCGCTTCAAGAACAAGAGCCTCTGCTTTAGCCTAGCATAGATGTCGAATCATCAGCCTGAATACGAAGAAAGAGACACTATGTACAAAGACTATACCTTAGTCTCATTATATGCATCCGCATATTTTTCTGGATAAGGTGTTGTCTCATCAGCATTTACCAAATCGCTAACTCCATCAAATAGTACACTAGCGCTGCTAGTATGAATCAACTTTTGCACTCCATTCTCAATGCAAGCTCTAATCACATTTTTAGTTCCATCAACATTCACTTTCCAATAAATATCATCGCCAAGACCCGTTAGAGGCGATACAGTATTGATGACTATGGATATCCGCCCCCGCTTTATTGCATTATTAATATCTTCATACTTGGTGAGATCACCTATAAAGTATTTAACGTCGTCAAAGTGACTTCGGAGGTCAAATACAAATATATTCGGCTCATCACGACGGAGAAGCAGTTCGATTATCCAGCGACCAAGGAAGCCGTCCCCGCCAATAATCAGATACCTATCTCCCATCTTGAAGAAGAAGAATAGCAATATGACAATATGAAAAGTATTTTCAGTTATTTGTACGATCGTCTTACTCCAAACATATGTTGATCTTATAGTGGCACACGCACTCCATTTGTTATGTACTCTAAATCCCGTAACGCATAGTCATATGGTATCGGATGCGGAGCAATCGCTTTCTAGGGGTTTTGTGTAAAAAAACTTGTCTACGGTATTGAAGCTCCTAAGTCCTATAGCCGGTTGGAACAAACATGTAGATATTTGATTAACAGAATATAATTTTGTTATTCCAGCAGTGCAATTATTTAATGCCTATTTATACTTAAGAAATTGCTTTTCCCTGAAAGCAGGCAGAGCAGCCACAAGGCGGAAGACATGCTCGAAGGGCATCAGACTTAAACTTGGAATCTATTCAGCATTCGAATAAACGTTCTGATGTATTCGATTTTGATTAGATACGGTGGTCTTAATTCACAACCACTAGCGTTCTCCTCTTAGCGTTAGGCTTACTTCTTTGTTATTATGTCGTTTTACTTTTCGATCAAACTAACGGATTGATGCTTATATCTTTGTTAGATACTTTACTAACAAATAAATTTTAATATGAAATTCTATCCCCATTTTTTCTGTTACAAATTTATTATTACAGCATTGTTTTAATTTACCGTTATCTTGGTGGCATACTTTTCCACATTACTTTTACAATGGAGTTTAAGTCGAGACTATTAGATAGCATAGTCAGCCACGACCCGAATTTTTCATGTCACCAACTAGACATAAGTACGGTTACGATCAGCTTTTACTCTCAACATGATGAAGAGAAATGCCGCTTTTTGGTAACTATTTTCGTTACACGAATTATTTTATTTTCGAAAATCTCTATTGTCCATTATTATTATACTAAGTGGCGGTATTATTATTATGATTTCATATTAATATGTTCTGTATAATCAAATTAGTCAAAAATCTTTGCGACTTAAGGTAAAACTTGATGTACTTATAGTTTTGGCAAAGGGGAGGGGGATACCATCTTATTATGTACTGTACTAATTAAAATATTGAATCGGTCAGCAATGTGATTGCAAGGGTTATAGGACATCTTCCTTAATCTTGATATCTCTTTTTACCCATAAATTTAAATGTGCAAACACATTAGGAAACACATTATGATTAGGCAACATTTTAAATTTAAAACATTCTAAATGCGCCGTTACCATTACATTATACATACAGTCTAATGCAGCATCGCCGGCCTCTTGTTATGGAATCTCAAAGGAGCAGAATGTTTTTTCAGTCTTCAGTCGCAATCTTTTCTATGAGATCTGTTGTTTATCGAGTCAATAAAGTAGTTTGTATATTGACCTTGAAATTTAGCCATCCGAGCCTTGGCCTGCTAAATATAATTCGACAAGTTAGTGATTTTTAAACAGGGTTTGCAACTCATGTCGACTGCTATTTAATCGATTCTACTACTATTTCTATCGGCGAGATTAGACCGATAGCCTATAGGTTGGGGTCTATGTATATTGTTTATAACGCGTTTGTCCATAATAGCAATCTTCTACGGAGCGAGACAAGTCTCGATAGCTGTTATCAAAATGTCTTGACGCGGTTGCCAACTCTGATACGTTCTCGTTTGGATTTACCAAATTGGATGGTTTGAGACATCTTTTTTCGACGGTTCATAACTATAGGTACTACGTGCAGAACCTGTAATTATCTTTCTTTGAGAAGTTTTGCGCCGGCGTAGTGATGGTCTAGACGGGAAAATATTATTACACTACTTATTGTAACTACTTCATCGACTGAGGCAGCGAAGCAGTCACCTGGCGATGAAGTACATTTTGTTGTTTAATAGCACGGTATACAATAACTAATCGATATTTTGTGCGATGAAGTAAATAGTGTCGTACTCACGGAAGTCGTTATGTTACCCTACAGTCCGATTAGTATTAGTAGGAGTTAGACGTTAAATTACAAATTACAGTGTCTCAAAAAAAAAAAAATTGTTGAGCGTTTTTTTTTTTCTTTTTATTATTGCTAGTTTCTATAAGAACAATTGAAGCAATTTATGCTGAGTGGGAAAAATTCAAGAAATGAAACGGAGATGTGAACTAATTTTACAACACAACGCAATAGAAGCACATATTAAAATTTTCATTAATAAAGCAACTCATAACCTTTTCAAATGAGCCTAAATTTATCTAATTATGTTATGTAGTTGTGGAAAAACATAATTTTTTGTCACCACCATTTTATTATTTTTTGAGACGCACTGTAGCCAAAGCAATTCCTTATATGATGCGAATTGGTATTATTATCATTCTGGTATATCTATTGACAAGTACTGAATATTAGGCTCTTCGGGAAAATCGAAGCTTTGTATTCGATCTCGTCCACGTGTGGTCGCTCTGTGATGCGACTTTTTTTTTGCGTGTTGAAGGTACGTTATCTACTCTCGATAGTCATCCGTTTATTGACTGGGCGTGCAAGGAATTTACTGATTAATTACAACCGAATTAGTACTTCAGGTAATGAAGTAACTATAAGAAACTAATATATCCATATTTGTAATAACAGCTTCTAACCATTGTAAGTTTTAACTACTTACGGTGTGTTTCTTATTATTATTTCTTTTCAAGTCGGAAGACCGACTCTATTGTCAGTACAGGAAAATCCGGTATTAAACAGTGTTGGATACTAACCCAACCACGAACGACCAAAAGTGAAATTGCCTTATCCTTGATGTTCTCGCAACGAAGTAGATACTACTATTTCAGTATGAAGCAATTTATTTAAAGCAGATCGGATACGTTCATCGGCATCTCGTCAATTTGGGTGCTATAGTATTGTTCAATATCACGAAGTATACGAACGTCTTCCGATGTCACAAAGTTAATGGCGACGCCTAAATTACAAAGTAGCGCAGTTTAGTCAGATATTAGAATGTGACCCCTTCACTTCACAGTATAACAAAAATTCTCTATTGCTTCGATTTGGTATTCATACCTTTTCGTCCGAAACGTCCAGACCTACCAATACGATGAATATATAATTCGCGGTTGGCGGGTAAATCGTAATTTATTCTGCATTATAAATGAAACCGTTAATAGCATTCAAGACCAAATATAAACATACATATAAAGCCTAAACAGGATTATTGTCCTTACACTAGAGATACTTGCTGGACATCGATTCCGCGCGCCCAAACGTCTGTGGTAATTAACACGCGACTATTCAAAGAACAACAGAAACCAGTTACGAAATCGTATAAAGCACTAGAAGCATGAGCCAAGCCAATATGACAGTAATTGACATAAGTCACCTTGCCCCTTGGCGGAATTCCTGCATTATAGCATCACGTTCCTTTTGTGGCATATCACCATGCATTGAAGAGACTGTAAAATTCGCTTCTCGCATCTTCTCCGTCAACCAATCAACCTGTCGGTGTACACGTTAGCACAAGCATTTCAAATAACAATCAATATAGACTTTTAAACTTTAATGCACCTTCCGTCTTGTGTTGCAGAATATGACAGCTTGAGTGATTGTTAATGTATCATATAAATCACATAACGTGTCGAATTTCCATTCTTCTCTCTCCACGGCCACAAAGAATTGCTTGATCCCTTCCAACGTCAATTCATCACGCTTAACGAGAATACGGATTGGCTCAGTCATGAACTTAGTGGTCATTTCAAGCACGTCATATGGCAATGTAGCGCTCAGTAGCACTACTTGGGTATTTGGCGGGAGATATCGGTATACATCATAGATTTGGTCCTTGAAACCTCGGTTCAGTAACTCATCAGCTTCATCCAGCACTAGCATTTTTATGTTACGAGTACGCAAATTGCGGCGTCGAATCATATCAAATACGCGTCCCGGCGTCCCTGATACTACATGAACGCCGTGATCGAGCTTACGAATATCTTCACCAATGCTCGTCCCACCAATACATGCATGACATTGAACGTTCATGTAATCTCCAAGAGCCAGGATCACACTTTGTATCTGAGTTGCCAGTTCCCTTGTAGGCGATAAAACAAGAGCTTGTGTCTCCCGCACAGTTGTATCAATACATTGGAGGATCGAAATAGAGAAAGTAGCAGTCTTACCCGTTCCAGACTGCGCCTGAGCAATAACATCACGGCCTTTTATAATAGGGACTATAGCTCTCTGCTGGATAGCTGATGGCTTCTCAAAATCTAGATCAGAATGCGATGGATTAAAAAAGCTTCTTCAATCATCTCGAAGAAGACATTTGCAGCTTACTGTAAGCGTATATTCCTCGAAGTAAATCTTCTTTCAGCCCAATAGAGTCGAAAGTAGGTACACTATAGTAGGAACAAGGTTCAAATGCGTGAATGAAGCCGATCCAGCTCGGGATACTAATCAGACACTTGTAAAAAGGCAACTGCTACTTACACTTTTACATCTTCACTTGTCTCAAAAACTAATTTCTCGTCAGCTTTTCGATCAAATACCTATTAGGGGTTCATGAAATGAGCTTTGATACTGTGCATACAATTCTACCGGAAAGTTATGCTTACCTTAGCCATACTTGTATAACTTCAATCTGCCAAAACTTATTTCTTGCTCAATATTAATATTAGCATATCGCGCATGACCACAAATATCTCAGTGATGTGACGTCACAAGAGTGCATGTGACCTACCTAACTGCGAAAAGAACATAATAAGAATAGAAATGAATGGAACGCGCTTGCCCCACTACATTCTAATTAATTGTTTTGTTACCTACCTTGTTTGATTGACTAAACTTTTCCGGGATCGTTACGACTGATGACAATGACAGAACAATTAAACATTCTTAATACTTTGATTAACGATGAAAAACGTCTCGTAAGTCTCAGCCGTTGGAATCAGTGTAAGGGAAACGCATTCTAACGCGTCTGTAATTTGCTAGATAACATACAAATGGATTAGTCGCCACTTCGGTATCCATGTCAACCTGGCTAAGCAGTAAGTCTTCGCATGTTATTTTTATGTTTCTGCATACTTAAACTTGGCTGCGCTTACCAGTATTTTATAGGCTGCTTTCTGAATTCAAGTCATTATGCGATAATACTGGAAAATGTGTCCATATTACATATTGTGTATGTGGAATACTGACGGACGAACAACGAATTGTCACTTTAGTATCACAGGAGGACCTTGAGAGTATGTGGTCACCATTTTGCGCATTTTAACAAGTTGATTACATATCTGATGGTGCATGTAAATTTTGAAGATGTTAAAATGAAATTTGCGAAATTGACCAGCGTTCATGTTTATAGCGTAGGATATAATAAACCAAAGGTCGTATGCTTATACTTACGTTCGTACACTTTGGACCATTTGTTAACTACCTTCATTCAAACAGGATTCATTGGAACTTGCCGTGGTAGATCATGCAATTCAAGAAGAAACGAGTGAGCCGAGAAAGTAAAGATTGGGCTAGTAGAACATCAATCGATTCTGCCATATTTTAATTCAAAAATCAAAAAATAATTTATTTTTTTATCTATGCATGACAACAGTTTTAACGTCATAAGAAATAGGAATGCTATCGTTGCGGATGTTCCCCGACCTGCCATAATACCACCACGGAAGCCTGAGTTTTTGATGAAGGTTATGACGAAAGAACCGAACCCTACAGTTGAAATTTCTAATAACGTTCCAGCAAGTAAACCGAATCCTACAGTTGAAATCTCTAATAACGTTCCAGCAAGTAAACCGAATCCTACAGTTGAAATTTCTAATAACGTTCCAGCAAGTAAACCGAATCCTACAGTTGAAATTTCTAATAACGTTCCAGTAAGTAAACCGAATCCTACAGTTGAAATTTCTAATAACGTTCCAGCAAGTAAACCGCAGCCAATGGAAAAGAAATTAATGAAGAATAGGAAGACTGGTACGAAGGTGTACAAGGATGCCCGAGGTTTTTTAGGTGAGCGTAATAAAAGTTGTGGCTTCGAAAATAATATGACGTAGCTAATATGATTATAATCAGTAACCGAGGATGTTGTGGAATGGGAAGCATGCTCTGAGGACAAGACAGTTGTACGAGACGTAACATCTTCTAAAATGAACAGAGCTTGTAATTTATCTGAGAACAACGCTAGTGGCCCGAAATCTACCAAGAGAAAGCATAACGGTAGTATGGGACAGAAGACCTTGTTAAGCTTCTTTGGCAAGACGTAGTATATTGATTTCTTATTTAATTACGTCGCTTTGTTCTGTTGTCGGGAGGATTGGGCTAATATTATATAATACATATGTAATGATATTGATGTCAGAGGATTAAAGGCAGGAGGTACTCCAGGTTTTCTTGGAAAAATATTAGTCTGGATATCGAAGAATCCTTATTGGGGAGGACACGAGTTTGCTTCTGCTGATTTAAAGTTTTATAAAGAAATGTGTACCATATCATTTCACGAATGTGACGCATATACAGATACCAATCCTGTTTGTTGGTTTGCGAATTTTGTTGGTTTGAATTTTTCGCTTTTGATTTCATTCTCGAGTAAATTTTAGTGATTCGAGAAGTGCTAACTCTTATTTGGGTAAGACAAACCCTGAAGCGCACAACTATGCTGTAAAACAAGAGATCTGCGAACAATTAGTATATAGTGGGTACCAAAATTTTTGGTAATTATAATGCTAGCATCTATGAATCAGCTTTAGAATTAATTCTAGGATAACATGAAAAAATGATATGCGTATTTGGTTTGCAAAGACTCGCTGGTCCTCGGTACTCTATGTTCGTTTCTAAGGCAAGCAATATGATATACATTTTTGTTATATTAGATGGAATTAAAATTGGGCTAGAAAGGCTATATATATGACGGTTTAATTCTTGGTATCCTACGCTTTTTTCTAACCCAATTTTGATACCAGAAATTTTGATAGCAAAATTAAACCCCCAGCTCGATTTTAATCCTGAATTCTATATCAGATTCTTAATATGCTTACTGGGCTTCGCAGCTTATTTGGTTCTTCAGTCTTCTCTTTTTCATAATCATGGCTAGTCTGTTGGTGAGTTCTTTCTTTTTTTAACAGCATTTCATTAGTTTTAAGGTAATATTATCAAATCCAGCTTTGGGTATATTTAAAACTACCAATTTTGGCTGGGTATGAGATTTCTTGTATTTTGCCTTTTTCTCTTCACTGTTGGGCTGGATTTGCCTAAAGCAGTTTTATTTCAAATTAGATATTTAGCATTGTTTATTTCTTGGTTATTGTTTGTCATATTGTTTGTCATTTTTTTTGTTTATTATTTTTTAAATATACTTACATCAAAATTAAGTATATAATTATTTTAATTATTTTATTATTAAACTTTAAAAATTAAAGCAGAAAAAGCGAGCAATGCTTGTAATTTACTAAACTTAATGACAGCAGGAACAAATTAACAAGTGATAAATTCATAGTAATAGTGGTAAGTTACTCTAAACATTCTATTCATTACCTGTAAACATTGGCCGTGGGCAAATAATATCTTTGAATTCATCTCTAACAAATGGGCGAATATTATGATAAAGACATTCTTGCCTTTTGTAATCCAAAGGAGGGGCTAACACTAGGATGGAAAGTTTTTTATTTCTTTGGTCATTTCGAAGACACTTGCTTTTCTAAATTAATTTTTGTATTAGCACCATTAGCAACCATCTGAGCTTTGACAACTCCAGGTTGAGCTGCTTCAAATAGAAAATGCTGGTATTTTTGCAAACCATTTAATTTTTTAAAGAAAATCCCCAACACAGAGTTAAGGTCAAAGTATTGAAAGCCTTTTCCCATTGTCATAACACTGGGCTTTGTTTAATCCAGCTGTACACGATTTTTCACAACCTCAACAATATGTTCTACCCAATCTACTGTTGTTTTTCTATAGTCTTTTACATTTTAATCAATCCAAAAATACCATCACACTTGTATGTCCAGGTATCATAAAATTAAGTTTGACGCTTTCATAGTAACCACAAATTACCAAATATGAATAAAATCAAATGGTCGCGTTGTTTTTATTCTGTTATCACAAGTAATCTTTAAATATTTTTCCACCTTTATTCAATCTCTTAATTCCATCGAATACCATGCTCAGTGTGCCATTAGGCCTTTGCCGATAATTTCGTCTTCATTGAGAACGTAATTAATTTATTCGCGTACTGCTTCATCTTGAATACCACAAATGCAGCACAAAAAAACAAAAAGATAAAATTTTCGATATCCTATACCAATACCTGTCAGCAAAATAAAATAAAAGTGATACAAACGATAAAAGAGAAGACTTTCTCTCGGCCAATTCAATTAAAATAACTGCGGTTCATTTTAGGTAACAAGCTGCTCGAATTGAGGAGTAGAGTGTGTTACGTTTGAAAGTCTGTTTTTTGACTGTCAATGAAGTCGGTTTTCAAAATAAGTCACAAAAGAACGCTCTAATTGTTAGACAGATCTTTCAACGACGCAAGAATTTTCACTCGACCAATGGCATGCTTTATATTCCTTCACTGACAAGGTTCATCGTATAGAAATCAACAGCGTAACAAGTGCGCATAAGTGAATTGCATATTTGAGAAAGAAAAGCTAACATATTTTTCCTCACTGATGCATTGAAATCCTAGAATTGTCAGGTCGGCACCCTTGTCTATTGTCTCGCCGTAAATTTATTGTCTTCGCAATGCCGCTTTTTTGAGACCTGTTCTTCATTAAGATCACTGACTTGTCTCATAGCTGTTGCTTTCTCTTCGTTTTCTTGAGGAAAGTTTTTGTCTGTGTATGTAGATATTCATTATTATTTTTTCGCCATCTGCTTCTTGACGTTTCCCCGAAATTGTATATAGTTCCATCTCCGGTTGAAAGCTGATTTATCTGATTACCTGCAGATATTCGACCTTGACTCGTGCACAATCCTTTTTAAAATTCTTTACTGACATAGCCCAACTCTTAACAGACAATACTTTAGAAAGTCTTTTAAAATATTTAAATAAAGGAAGTATTGGGCTAAGAGCTCATCCTTGTTAGACTATCCAAAAATAATACTTTCCAGTTGTCCAGAATTTGCTCTTCTTGTCACGTCAATCCAAGTTCGGAGTTTGCACCTCTTCAAAGTCTTTCTTTTGTTTTAGTTCTGCTCGATAAAGTTAAGACACGTCCGTAAAAGTCCAGACATACATATTGTGTTCAAGTCACGTGTCTGACCCCATAGTAAGGTGTGGTGCAGGATATCTATAGCCCGAAATAATAATACCACAGCATAATTGTGACAAGTTTTTATACCGTTAACGTAATAATAAAAGAGTATAAACATAGATAATACCCAACTTTCAAACCCTAAGGCTTTATATTAGAGGGTTTAGAGAAATTTTTAATCAACTTAAACTTCGAGTTTTAGGGATTTGAAAAGTAACAGTTTTCTTAAAAAAAAACTGAACACCGTTTTGTGTAGCTTACAAGTGACCTAATTTAATAACTAAAAACGCGCGCTTCCTAACTCCCTATACTAGTACAGTAATTATAATACGAGCTTCAGTCTTAATTGAGCAACTACCGTAATAAGGGCGGTAGCACGAAGCTAAATCTGGTAACATCCCCCGGTCGGAAGACACCCTTACGCGAAAAATTAATCGCCCCCAAACCCCAGACCATCCGACCGTAACAGTATGCAGAGTATGATTAATACACAGGAATTTGTGTTTGTTGTAATAAAAACAACACTAATTTACTGCAATTTTTTCTCCTTTTAGAATGTTGGTTCCATGGTAGATTTGATGTTTCATACTTATATTTTTATATAGACACAATATTATATTAATTGTTAGTGAACATCTGTATTAAAACTTCAGCCATATTCGCCATGACAGATCTAAGATAATTTATGTCTGACCTACAGCTGTGTTACTAATACCAAAGCAAAACGTTTGGTTGATTTTTCAGTCACCTCTCACCTATTCAAATGTTTGCAGTCTGCCCCATTGTTATGTGATCTAAATAGTCTGTCACCAATGTCAGTTCACTTGTTCATTTTTAATTTTTGTAAGAGCAAATTACAAAGCCCAGATTCTCCTTCGAGTTCTGTCAAAAACCAATCTATAGCATTACTTTATTGCATCCATAAACTTTGCTTCACACTCTGAATCCAAATGTGGTCTGCTGTGTCGGGATAATTTGTTGGTGGATTTCGTCAATAATCAATGTTCTCGAATGAGAATCAGGAATAATAGAAATACCGAACATTAGACTCGACGAATAAACCTTTGGTTTTTGCAATATCTAGAAATTTGTCAACATTGATTTCTCTTATTCAAGAGTATTGTGTGGGTCACTTATGATTATTGGTCAAAATAATTCTTTGAACACTACATGAAAGTTTTGATAGCATTCTACTCAAATACTTGTAGACCATTATTCTAACGGATAGACTGTCCATTAAGTGGGACTCGACATCCACAAACCAATAATTTGTCTTGTCCATACTTACCATCAATAATCTTTTTGCACATAAAGACTAATGTTCCTGTAACGATTATTTGATGTTCACTTTCCTAATGTGCCGAAGTTTAATCTAAACGTAAGTCATCTTATTGAATCTACCAAATGAGAATGAGGACTGATGCATAGTTTTTACATTATTATAATTAATTTTACCTCCGCAGCAAAAACAACGTACATGGTTAAATAAATACGAACGTGCGTGGGAGACAAACAAGTCTTTAACGCTAGCTAATGTTCACAGTAATGCAGAATGAACGCGAGACAATCATCCACCCTCACAATTGTACATATTCATAGTACGCTCCATACTTAGTCCGCACCGAGACTACACGCTAATTAAAGATATTACTGGATTGACATTACAAGTGTGTAATGCACGGCTGAATGACGCTTATCAAGTGCTTATGTTCGATATCATTTAAGTGTAAAAAGTTTAAAGTTGAGCATTTTTGATCTTTGAGATCAGATTCTTTAAAAACTTGTTATAATAACATCTGAATTGGTGATATTTCTACAGAAACTCGTCTGCACAATTCTGTCAACTTGCCATCAATTATCAGAGATATGTCATGTGTAAAATCCAAGATTTTCCACCATACCTCCATAAACAACTTATTTTTACTCTTCAGACCGCATGACGGTTCTGTACACTCTTGTCATCGTTTCGTGATGAAAGTTATTAGTACAATATGTATATTAATGAACCATTGATGTTGTTCGTCCATTATAACAAATGTAGATAGAAGCACGTTAAATAGTACAAAATATAGACAAATTATGATAATATATAATGTATGTTAACAATTGAATGAGAGCCCTTTGCGCAAACATCATCTATTGTTTACTAATATCAATGTTTGCAAACAAACAAGCAATTTGATAAAAACAAATGTCTGCCATTTATCTTCATCTTCGCTAATGAAGAGCCCGAGTTCATTAGAAGGACACAAATTTTGGGTCCTTTGGAATTCCCGTTAATGGGTCAATATTGCTTGACTTAAACTTCCTTTGTTGTCTGATTAATCTTGCTTGGTCAAAGTTTACGCCTTCCTCCTCCATAATGCGTTTTATTTCCTCAGAATTCTCCAACCCGGCACGAGAGTCACCATCCTCAACATTCTGTTGTAAGTCAAACGCTTCTGAAGTAAGTCCATCATCGATATCTTGTTGGAAAGATGAAGTAGAAAAGTAAGCCGGAACGCGCTGATATCGGTTCTTAAAATATGGTATTTTCGGCAATATTCGATCGCGATAATAGTATGCCACTAGAGAAAAGGATAGGTCGTTACATATGAGCATGACATGAAGTAAACGGGTGCATAGTTTGCATCCCACACAATCGCGAGGATGTAGACCACATATTATTAAACTTTGGCTACGTAATTTTGATAATAACAATACCTAGTAAGAAGAGAACCAACAGCAATGCGATATATGTTATCATTTTCACAGTTTGTAACGATCGCAACTGAAATTATGTGGTATGCTCTGTTCGGAACTGCTTCTTTTCAACAACATATGACAGCAACATGCGACAACTTATTAATGCTATGTATTACAAAACAAATTTCAGGGCCAAATTTTAGACCCCCTACTTTTAATATGCAATAATAGTAATCGTAGGTTCGCTGCATAGCGCAGACGTAGCTAGTCATTGAACTGATCACGGCTTATTCAACATGCCATAAAGATAGTATACCATAGGCCGTACTCACAGTCCCAAGGACACTTTTCCTGGTTTTGTTGCAGTCTACCCAAATCATATCTAGATGTTAGCTGCTCTGTCCATCGTATGTTCCTTAATTCCAGTTATTAAACTGTGCACTTTGTTATGAATGGGTTCAAAGACATCTTCTTCCAAGCCACACCATGGATTTGTCATAGTTATAAAGTATAGAATGTATCAAACTCAGGAGACAAATCCCAAATCTACTAATACTGAAAGAATTATCCAATAAACTTTGGCAATTGGGAACAGGCTTTTGCAACCTAACTCGGAACTATTATCGCAGACACTACATACTAACGTGATCAGGCAAACCTACTAACCCAGATGTTATTAGCGCGAGGTTAGCTTTAATCGTTCTTTTGCTTCGGGAGTTGACGATAAAAATGAAGGATCAGAGAAAGTTGGCCATATATTAGCCATAGCTGTAACCAAGCAAATAGTAAATCCGGCAATTTTTAGAGCGTGGGGATAATTTATTGGATTCAGCAAAATGATAACCTACCAATTATTTGGTGGACGATACATGGTGAAAGTCGATATAATGGACCATCGATATAACGGACCATCAATAAAACGGACTTTTTCTCTGGAACGGGAATCTGTTTACTAAATAATATCTGATATAAAACTCACAAATCGATATTACGGATTAAAACGCTGGCCGTTATTATTATTATATCGTGTACTATGTCAATCACATGATAATTGTACAATTGGCGCCTCATAATAATAACAATAAATAACCCTCTCGCCAAGATCAAAAATCCCAAATCATATAGTAATAGGCATGTCGTCATATTCTCCGGTGGTATCAGGATCACCGCAAATTCAGGCAGATCCTATATCAGCGTCCTCTACTTCAGCAATCACCAGCTTGTCTGGTGGATCTATTGCGCAACAGGAGGAAGTCGCCGAAAGTAATGCTAGGACTGGCGAATCAATTATTCACCGTGAATCAAACGTATCCTTATCAAGACTGATACCTCTTGAAGAAATAGCAGACAAAAGATGTTGGATCTGTTTCGGTGAGGAAGACGACAGTACTGGGAAGTGGGTACGCCCATGTAAATGCTCTCTAATCTGCCATGAGGAATGTTTGCTAAACTGGATCGCAGAGACTCAAAAAGGCACCGCTCTCAAAAAAGTTAGTATTTCTGGCACATAGCCCCAAGACTGTTCACTTAAGCATAGCAAGTGCTCTAAATCTCTTTTTTCCTCTCAGGTGCGATGCCCTCAATGCAAGACACCGTACCAACTGAACGAGACCAAGTCTTTAATTTTACAATTGTTATCTATTATTGATGCAACTATTCAAAGCTCTATCCCATACGTTACAGTACTTGGGGTGACTTTCGGTGTGGCAATTACTCAGTTTCATTACGGGTGAGTTTTAGGTACCATACAAATTTGTTCATCTCGAAAAAGTATCGTTTGTTTAATGGTTCGCTCAATTCTGGTTCTTTCATAGTGCGTACGCACTGCTTACGGTAGTTGGTCTAGAAGAAGGTGGACGAATATTGCGTGGACCGTGGTCCTGGCGTATGATAGTGAGTTAAATTTTTTCATCATTGATGTATTTGAAGGTTTACGCTTTCGTTAAAGTCCTAATGATTTGAAATGACCCCTTGACAGCTTAATCTCCCTCTCATACCTGCATTTTTAATATGTTCGAGAATACCATCTTTGAATAATTACATGTTATTGAGTCCTATCCTCTACTTAAAATGGAATCAGTTACGTATCTCTTTGCCACCACATCCGACTGTCACGCTGGCCATATTGCCGACCGCTAGCTATGTATATAATAGACTATATTTCCAGCTCTTTGGAAAGATGGAAGTATCATGGCAGACTCAAGTAGAACCCTATGCAGTCGCAACGATTGATGGTGGGAATGGGGATAATGCTAATGAGCGAGCACGTAATGATCGAGATCTCATAAATAGAGTTGAGAGAAGAGATTATGGTCGACTTATTGTGGGAGCTCTATGTCTTCCTTGTAAGTTACAACAGATGTTGTTTGACAAATTACTATTGCAAGGTGGTTCAATTTCGGTAACATTTAATTTGTAAACATAAATTGTATCGAAGTTTTGTCTGCAGCATTTGGAAGGTAAGATATATTATATTTATAATAGCTGTTTAGTCATTATACTCAATTCGAAATGTCTCTTTATAGTTTATTAGGCCGCTTTAATGTTGTTAAATCACGGATACCGGACCATTTCCATCGTAGTATCATTGGTGGATGTTTGTTGATAGTTTTTAAGGTATAGTATGCAACATCTCCAGAGTTGAAACATTCAGATTAGTTATTTATGTTACATAACGAATTTGTCATAGGATGCTGTAAACCTTACTCTCAAGTATCAGAAAGCGAAGAACCGAAGATCGCGTCACGTTAGGAATTATGATGAATTTGCCCGTGAATTTGAACCTAGGGGGCGGCGCGCATAAATTGCGGTAATGATATTGGTATAAGTTATGCTATTCAGACGCTGTTTTCTACTTACAGTGTTCATGCAATTCTAGAGATTTGTCACAGAACGTACCGATAGACTTGGGCTTCAGACATTGATGACACTCCCTACTGATAAAGAAACATACATTAATACAAAGAATATGTAATGTACAATTTCAATATTTAGGCAGGATATATTTTCTGTTGCACCCACTGAGATCCTAAAGTCATTTGTAAGCACATTAAAAGTACGTGGGACACTCATATAGGTGATATAATCTGCTTCGGGTTCATGGCTTAGGGGAGCAACAGAAAGCGAAGATATTACAGCATCATATTTGTGGTTATTTTCACCACATTCTATAGTTCAGTTACCACACATTCAGTTTTGTTCGTCACATAAACTTTACGGTTTATCCGTTCATTAGTAGAGACAATAATCGGCCTTAGTAAGGAGAGCAACGAATCCTTACTTTCGCCGAGATTCATTTTATTATATTCAATCTTGACTTTGTGCTTTGCATAATAGCCAGTATTGAAACTACAATTCGTGGGAACATTTCCGAAATAAATTACTGATGATTCTAAATTTAAGGATGTCATACTGCTAATCCACGTCGTATGGTACAGATACTCGTGTTTATGATATAGTCTCCGCCGCTGAAAAAGCTCGCAATGAGATGAACTTAGCGATAGATGCCAATGTTTATTCTATAGCAAAATGACACGCCTTCGACGAGTTTACAGGAAAATCGCTTGCAACGCCATCGAGCTTAGTCAAAATCTTCTTGCTAAACAGGCCTTTTAGATGAATTCCCCTTGGTTTAGTAAAAAATATGCACAATATGCCAGAAACGCGGCTCGAATTTTGTGGAATGGGAATTGAGCCAATAATCATTTTGAGATTAAGTCAGAATAGCGACAGTTTAGCTTTCAGCTTTAATCCGGAGATAATGTTCTCCGTATGAAGAGGAATTCCTAAGAAGCTTTCTGATACACACGCCCACTTCCATATTGTCACGTCGTTGGATATAGGAAATTTTACTCCATGGTGTCTGCCTCAGTATCACGTTTTTCGAGTTGTACAATAAACACGTTAATTAAGAGAGTTTTTGTTTAGTGATACCAATTAATTATAAACTAAGGATGATTATTATTATGGGGCTGATCTGTATATATTTCGGTTCAATGTGGACCTTCTTTGTGCTAGGCGAAAAATAAAACGAACTGAATCATAAAATGACGAGCCGTTAACGGGGGACGAAGCTTGCCATTTTTATCACGGAGCAGAACATGTGGTTTAGTCAGAACATGGCGATCATAAATGACCATCGCTATATGATAATAAACAATTAAATAAGACTATAGCTACACAAGCCAGTAATTAAAAATTGTGTACGTCAATATTATTAACACTATTTATCTTTTACAATTAAATGCTATACACGTAACAGTAACACGAGGTTAAAGAAAGACTAGAGCAAAAAAGTTTCTGTTCAATAAACGCTAAAAGCAAGAAACTCTGTACTGTTCTTTTTGACATGAAGCCGTCCTAAATACAACATGAGATATTCAAATAAGCACCGTACTGTACTATCATCCATAGCATCAATTTGTATCATTTGAAAAGAAGTATTTATCGCTTAAATACTACCATTATCACAAGTCTAGAAACAACCAATTAAAAGTCCTATCACTCGTGGGTAGAGACAGCCCTTTCTTTAAACTGAGTGTAGCGTAGTAAAATAATAATAATATATAGACGGGACCTCATTTAATATCGCTATATGTTGAACTCAATGAGCATCTAGAACTGGTGTTGCAACAGTTTGCCAAGCCAAAAAGCCTTTCGCTTTAAAAAAAACAATTAACAGTGAGGAATTAATGCAAGCCGATGGCTAGTATGATTTATTTTCTAAATGGTCCCATTCACTGAAAGGGATTTAAGATAACAACACTTTGAAATAACGACAACTTAGTTTTATTAGTCTACTCGTGCGTAATAAAAGGTATAATATTAATATGATAATAAAATGTATAATAGAATTTCGGGATACCGTAGCAGGCACTGGGGGGTGAAAGACTTATTTATTATATAAAATCGTGCATGTTGGAAATATTAGAATCTCATTATATTTATTTTTATAATTATTGAATATCACCAGAGATTATTGCTTAAATGTCATTTTCGTGGTTTTGGTGAGCATTACTAAATGTAGATGATGAGTTTTACACTGATGCAAAATTAACACCGTGAAGTAAAGACAGATTATTCATGAAGAAAATAAAATCAAATTAAAAAAAAAAAAAGGGAAGAAACAAGACAAATTATTAGACAACCAATAAATTAGCTGGAAGATAAACCGACTCGGAGAAATAAAAATCAGAGCACAAATAAACACTTTACGTGGCACATATGTATCCACCACTAGTGCCGATAGTTAAATAACCTTTACCTCCAAGGTCAAGCTTTTCTAGGATAGTATGATACAAAAATTTATAACTCCAAATATTACCCTTCAACCTTCTAATATCAACAATATACAACCCAGGCAAGTTCGAGATTCTGCAAAGCTCCACCGAAAAACGTATCTCATCGCCCGAATCTACTGTTGAATCGCCATATATAACCTCTGGAAGCATAATCATATTCGAATTATTGCTGGGAGAAACGTTCATCTCAGGGACGACTATAGTCATTGCTGGATCCAAATGTGGGCTATTCGGTGGAGATGGTGATTGAGGACTACCATCTCCACTGCTACTCGCGGTTGCCGACAAGGGAATCGACAAAGATAGCGAATCAACATTAATCTGAGTAGCGACGAGACTAGGAGACGTGCTTGCGACACTTGATTTACCACTATGAGGCACCAATGATGGTGAGGTATGAGCTGAAGTAGAGCTAGCACGCCGCAATAATGTTTTAAACGGACTAGATGGATATTTTCGCTTTTTCTTGTCAGCTTCTACATTAATATCTGTTACGCCGATGTTATCCTTCGTTTTGTCTTTAGAACTCTGTTTGTTGTCATCCTTAGAGATATGTGCGTTAGTTTTCCGTTTCCGCCGTACACATCTGACTTTGAATTCTCCTTCTCGCTTGGTTTCTATACCCATTCCTACTAATGTTTGCTTGACAATTATGAAGACTTCGTATGGGTGTCTTGATGTCAATGCAGAATTATCTACAGCACCGTGGTGAACACGTAGCTTAGTATCTACTTTGGCGGCAGAATTTACGGTAGAAACAGATGATGCGCAAGAAGCATTGCTACTGTTTGCATCAATAACCGACTGTTGTTTCTTTGAGCGTCTACTTTTACTAGTCTTGCTTCGTTGAATAGCCGAAACACTGAGTTGGGTTGTATCTAATAGTTGAGTACTAGGAACAGCGGATGTTGCGGAAGCAGTTGTATCCTGATTTTTAGCTGTAAATATTATTTGTATTAGTGACTTGAAAAACAATCAAGATGACCATTTTTATACATACCAAAGGATTTTCTCCTAAACCAATCCATTACTTTCTTCGCAGCATTAGAACTGCTACCGGAAGGCATACCACTCAGACTTTTCCTCTTATCCTTGATGTTCACATCGTCTAATCTAGAAGTACTTGCATTGGCATGCGGTGCGGATGTGCTCCTGAATGAATCAACCATCATGCTCAATGCTTTCCTTCTAGGAGCCTTTCTTTTCTTGAATTCTTCGACAAAACTGCTATCATCTACTAGACTAGTTGTGTCCGATGTGGCATCCGTTGGTACATCATTTGCAACCGCTTGGAGTGGTCCACACAAAGCTTTCTGTAGCGTTGTGGTGGCGTTGGCAGGTATTAAAGTATTATTAATATTGTTTATTGTACTAGTTGTTCCAGTTGTGCCATTGCTTGTTCCCATATATTTAAATAATTTTTCAGTTGATGTCGCTCTCTTGTGAGGTCTTTTATGAGTAGTAGCCGGTGGAGGTGGAATAGTAGGATGTACGATCGTTGATGAATCAACCAAAGGCTCTTCTCCATGATCAGGGACAGTCGGAGAGGACGGAAATGGAGGCGTCCCAGCGGGAGATGACGTTTTCTATGGATTATTAAAACCAATATTCGAGAATGCCTTGACATAAATTATATAAAGGATTAATAAGTTGCCAACATACCTTTCGTGTAACTGTTTCCATGATATCTTGAGAATTTCCTGGCATTGCATACACTGTTACTGGTCTTGCACGCGTAGCATCTCGTTTTTTGGGATACTGATGATGTTGATTGTGGATAAGTTTCTGGTCTGCCTGAACTTCTCGGGTAGATAAAGCGTTGGGAACGTTTAGGTGATTACTATTATCTTGATGGCTACCGCTGACTTTGGGATCTCCTTCAAACAGAGTGAATAATCCCGAATTATTGTTGGTCGGGTTTTTAGTAGTATTATTGACATCTGATGAGGTTGATGTTAACGTGGTCGCATGTTCCTTTACAAAAGTTGAATCATTAACATCAAGAGGTTGAGCGGACGCTACAACAGGTTCATCATCTGCATGGCCTTTTTTGAAGTATTGATCCTTTTCATTATTAAGAGCAACAGTTCTCTCTACAGAAGGCGAAGACTCAACAGCCCCTAATCGGGTTCCATCCACGAATTCAAAGTCTTCGTCAGGGCATTCATCATAAACGGCGTTTCTCCCACAATCATATTCAACCTGTATAGTGTGTCGTTTGACAGTTGACGTTGCATTCGGGATGGAGTTGCTCTGATGGTCGGTACGATAGTCTGATGACAAATATGATGAATTCGGCACTGATAACCCATATGACTCCGGTGTTGCTATCGAGTGTAACGGATTAGCGACAGCCTGAATAAACAAAAACGGTAAGGGTATTCTATATAAGAATGTTTTTCGACCAAGATGAAAGTTGAATGATGATATCTAATGAATTTTTTACCTCCAATTCTCGTATCGAATATTGAAACAAATATGTATACGCTGCAAGCCATCTACATTTATAATGAACCATCTTGTCAGAGATATTTTCATAGATAACATTTTACGGAGTTATTGTGATTACCTGTGAGACATAATAACTTTCATATCACATCTTTTAGCGGGATCGGGTACTAGCATTTTTCTCAACAAGTCTCTCGCATCCGGACTTACATACTCGGGAAAAACTAACGGCGTGTTGATAATATATTTGTACAGTAGATTGATATTCTCGCCATCTGGATTGTCAGGATCGTCATCGAATGGAAGATACCCCGACAACATAGCATACTGCCAGAAGGATATATATTCGAGAGATTAGTCTTAATCTTATTTCGTATGAGTAGAAATAATAGTGCCGATATTTACCAATATTACTCCACAACTCCATATATCCACCGCACTTCCGACATATAACCCTTCACTGATAACTAGTTCGGGTGCAGCATAACAAGGACTACCACATGAAGTAGCCATAAGATCATCTTTGGCATTGTCAAATTGATTAGCAAAACCGAAATCAGTTATAATGATATTTCGATTGCGGTCGAGCAGAAGATTTTCCTAAATTATAGATTCAAAAGTGAGAAGCGAATGGCATCGTTGTGGTTTTCGAATAGGGAATGCAAGAACACTTACTAGTTTGAGATCACGATGCACAATGTGTTTCTGATGTAGATAATCGACCCCACTGATCAATTGGGCAAATAGTCGGCAGGCATCTCTTTCTTTGAGGTACCGATGCGCCAGTATATGATCAAACAACTCACCGCCTAATCGTAACGAAACCAATAATGTGTGTCAGCGTAGTTTATTCATTGGAAAGATAATAAATAATAGTCATAGCAATGACTTTTTATGTTCACAAACAGTCGACGTTGTTTATAATAAAGTACAGCTAACGCGTAAAACAGAAGATCTTATCACATAGTGATTCATTGATATTAAATGTGATAATTACCTGACGCATATTCCATGATAATCCCAATATATTTATCGGTTTCAAATACGTCATATAGTTTGACAATATTCGGGTGCATGACGCTCTATAAATGCGAGGCATTATATAAGACATACGATTTGACAGCATATAAGAGCGCATTCATAGTTTACCTGTAACACTCCAATCTCTCGCTGTATTTTTTGCATACGAGATTGACTCTCTACAGATTCCTTCCGTATGAGCTTGACCGCAACCTGCAGACATAAAATTCATCTGGAATAAGTACCAATACCAAGTAAGAGTAGCATTTGAAGTGTAGATGTTGGATCTCAGCATGTCAACTTGAATCTCGATACCTCTTCGTGCGTGTCGGCGTGCATTCCTAGCTTCACTTTGCCAAATTCCCCTTCACCCAGAGTCTGTAAAAGTAAATAAGGGCCGAACATGTTGTTTCTTCTAGTTGGGTTGTGTGATGTTGTAGTTGTAGTTGTAGTTGTGGTTGTCGCCATCGTTGGTGGTGATGGCGGTGGTGGCGGTGTTCGTGATGGCTCCACTTCAGGATCTCTGTAAGGGATGGGGAGTGGTGTAGACACGGGACGCCCCCGTGCAGTCTGTTGCTGCTGTTGTATAAACTGATTTGGTGGATTAAGAATTGTCTTTGCCATTCATAAAGTTTGTGGTTATTAAGGGAGAATGTGTATGCGGCGAACGTGAAAGAGATTGTTTCGGATAAATAGAAGGGTGAAAATATATTGTGTAGTGATGGAAATAATAAAAGTCTTTTTGAATGAGAGTTCATAAACGTCATCCGAATATGGTGTTTGCAATTGGAAGTTATTTCTTCTTGTGCTACTTGGAGATAAACAACAAGGAAGGATATTTGATAGCGCTTGAAGACAGTGTTCAATGAAGGACCAATCAAGCACTATACGGTTCAATTTGGTATTTTAGAATTAAGCTTTGGGGGGGGTCAAACTATTTCAGTTACATCGACTGCGAAACGCATAAATGTGAAGTGTGTTTGTTTGTACAATCATTATTTTTCATTGTCACCGAGAAGGAAATAATGGTTGTTTTTTGGTCCAACAATTACATTCTTTATTAGGACATCATTCCCTGAGGTTGAAACACAACACACTTATCACAATCTTACCGAACAATAAATAAGAGAATTCAGATATGTAGGTAGCCGAGGTATTATTATTATATTGTTGTTATTGTCAATGTTATTGTCAATGTTGTCAATGTTGTTTAATGTTGTTGTTATTCTACGTTATTATACTGGACACAATATATAATAATAATACAGTGTAACGACAGTTCGGGTCAAAATAGTAATGGCATACTGTATATTTGCGGAAAAAAGAAAGTTTTCATGTGCAGGAAATCTCAGCAGCCAGCGTTGTCCATTCAACCACTCAACCTCATCATCCTCAGCATACACTACATGAAATCCCGTGGTAAGGCTCTGCCACATGGGGCATATTAATTAATATCAGAGAGTTTAACTGAGATTGGAAGCACATATAAGGCTTTGTAATTGTCCTTTATTTGGTAAGCGGGTAGGAAATTCGAGATTGGTTATGGCATGGCATATGTGTTAAGCGTGCAGGAGATATCAATAATAAAGCATCTGCAAAGAACTGAACTAGACATGATTGCAATGTAAAACAGAGGGAAAGGATTCCGACGGATATCGTTACAGCTTCACATTATTATAATAACGGCGATGGTATAGTATAGGTGACAGTAGACCACTTGCATCGAAGATGTAATTTATAATAACAATAATAATAATAATAAGAGAATTAGAGACTAATTGGTTTCATTGTTCATGTTTGGTCATAGAGCAAGCAGGTCTTCGCATATGATATATATTGTTCATTTACAAACAGCATATTAAATTTGTAATGCTGGCCAATAAACAATCGGATGTTCTATCTGAATAGTAAGTAGTACATGTAATCTTTTTGCTGCCATAATGCAATGCATACTTAGAGTCGAAGTATCTCCCCCCATTGGTATACTGTTACTATTACTACTATAGACCGTTAGAGATGAATGATTTTTGAGTAATCGAAATATTTTATAATATTCGGAAATTTTCACTGACATAGAATAATGTTCCTGGATAATAGGGAAAAGTCTGTTTGAATAAACTAAGTGCCTAGATGACCATTCATACTTGGTATTTATTACCAGTATTACGTTTATTGTAGGAATATAGGAACTACTATCAATTTCTTGCTTTATACTCTCAATAAGTAAAATCGTCCTTTGAACTACTGTAAATCCAGGAGATCATATTCATTTTCCCACTCACCGGACGATCAAATTTATGCCATTTTAATTTGCCATCACTATATTAGATTGCTAACGTCCTCAAATATTGAGCTATTAATATACATGACGAATATTGGGTTCATTCTTGTTCGATCAAGTTGCGAGGATTTATATCTCGTGGTTTTCACTGAATAAGATCTAACGACATTTTCATTTCTTTAATTTACTCTTCTTACAATAATAATAACAAATTATCCCGCTGTAAACTCGTCAAGTACAGGTATTCGATTTCTAGTTATATTAATACTATTACTATACAAATATCTTTCCTAAACAGGCTTCGGGTTGGAACACGTCAATAGTTTGTTGTACACCAGAAATATAGTATTTTAAAGTATTAGTATGACGATAACTTTGGCATGCAGATTCAAGAGATAATCACTGAATCTAAACAGGCTACCCAAAAGATTACCTGATCTAATAATCAATTACATCAACTCCCCGTCCATATACACATACATTATACAATAACATTGAAGCGTAACTGGCATCACGTGTTTTATTAAACTCGAAATTTACATCAACATAATTGGAGGGGCGAATTTATTGATAAAATTATGTAAGACTAAAATTGCCTTCCAATCGCCATATGCCAAGGCCCTCTATATCGATTAGAGTATTCGCGTCTTGTCCCGCGAATATTCTTGTGACATTATGATTATTATTTTTCCCAAGTACAAACGCGTTTTAGGCAGATACAATTATATTCCAACACTATTGGCTTCCGAAGTAATCCCATAGTCGATTCACTTAACCGCCTAGAATTAGTTCTACCGATCGACACAAGGATATGAATAATAAACCTGGTGTTTTTGATAATAGGCAAGTCTCTCCGCAGTAGAGTCATGTTTTTATTAATACCCTGAGATTTATCCTTGCGATATTATAACTAATTGCGACTATATTCTAATCGATCAATGATGTCGGATATATAACCATGGTTCATGTATGACATTCTCTTTCTATGGACACTAGACATGACTTTGTTTGCAAACCATCCAAAAGACCTTATTCGCTAACGCAGAATAATGACTTTTGCTAGAAATACAACAGTAATGTAGTTGCGTTCGGAAAGTGGTTGTCATTGAAATATAACCCGAGTATATTTAATTTATTCATTAACTAACAACATGGCCGAGGGTAATTATAATACAGTCAGACCTCTCTAATGCAACCTCTCTAAATGCACACACTATATAAACTCTCCATAAATGCACGGTATGGTTCAGTCCCAGCTTATAAGAACATTATATATTTTGCTCTCTGTAAATGCACACTCTCTCTAAATGCACACTTTTGGATTTTTTTCACTATGGTCCCGACAACGTGCATTTAGAGATGTCTGACTGTAGATCATAAAATATTGAATCTATCGATTATTATATTAATATGGGCAAAAACTGCTAAATACTGACCAAGATTATTTTTTCAAAGCCAAGTATCCGAGTGTCACTAATACTTTTTTGCGAGCTTCTTCAATCTTTTCGGCAGTTCCTGCCAAACATGTGGTTTCTGAATCGGTATTGAAGTCTCGAGGGCTGTATTGAAGCAAGTTTGGAGACGACAAAGTCTGAAACTTGTCACAGCGGCTGATTTCTTGTAAGACTGATGGACGTAATTTTTTTGCGCTAAAAAACAAATCAAATAAAAAATTAATCAATTCATTGATATTATTTATTAATCTCTTATCGTTCCCGTTTAGTATTCATTATAATTACCGTAAACTGCCGCCCGCCTTCATCACCATATAAGGGGTTGCGTCTTGAAAACAATGCAAAATGATCTACGAATCGTCATGTGTCCACGTTATCTCATAATCACAAACTGCCTTTCTTATTAACAGGGGGTACCAAAAAGTTTGTGAATCTTTGTGTGAATTGTGTGAACTTTTTTACAATATAAGTAGCAGTGCTTTTTACATTGATTGAAGCAAATTGATTGTATTTTTTGAAAAAAAGAAAGATAAACAAAAATACACTATTGTTATAAGGCTGCAGTTTAATGAAGTGGGTAGTAGATAAACGCATATATAGTTTTATAGTTTTCCTATTGTAATTCATATGGTATCACTTTATTGAACTACAGCTTTATAACAGTAATATATTTCAGTGAACTTCCCCCTCCCCAAACAGTACAATCAATTTGCTTCAAATCAATGTAAAAAGCACTGCTACTTATATTGTAAAAAAGTTTTGGTTTTACTATTGATTCACACAAAGATTCACAAACTTTTTGGTACCCCCTGTAGCTCGCATTATTTGTTGTCGTTTATGATTATAACACTGATTGAATCAGCGATACTAAATAAAGTAATATATGACGTCGATTGTTGATGTGATAAGGGCCAGCTATTTCATAACATTACTGTTCATGGAAGCCTTTTTTTCATATGAGGGCCCTTATTCACGGTAGATCCATTATTATTATTCACGGCATTTACGATAGTTGTTTGAGTGTTTAAAATTCGATTAGCCTTACGAGACTTCGCGGACAACTTAGGAGGGGCTCCGTTGTCTCAGTTCAAAGAGTCGTAGAAACAGTAGACGGCAAAGTGGATGGATGAAAATTTTTATCCACTAAAAAAGGAGACTGGTTAGTAATTGAATCAGAATACTCGTTATTGATATACTGTACTCAACACTAATCATAATCAGATGATTACCTTGAGAGGTATAAAGATGCACTATATAATTGCAAGAGTCTTCTATTAATCCGTTTTATTTTTTTTTTGTCAATACTCTTTGTTTTTAAAATATGTCCTTTGTCTCTTCATAGAATTTTTTATAAGTGCTTCGGAAATATTCGAGCGGCGTGACAATGCTTGCAAACATCGCGAAATCGTTTATTCCAAATATAATCTAAACAGAACGGATGATTTGCAAAAAAGTTATGTCTAGTGTCCATAGAAAGAGGATGTCATAAATGAACCATGGTTATATATCCGACATTATTGATCGATTAGAATATAGTCGTAATTAGTTGCAAGGATAACCTCAGGGTATTAATAAAAACGTGGATCTACTGCGGATATATCAAAACGGAACCAAAATTATACAGTCAAACCTCTTTATACTGATACGAGTGGCACCGGCCATTTTTATCGGTATAACCATATCATCAGGCATTTACCTGCCAGTACAGTCCATAATATTTCTATTTATAGAGGAGAAGCCATCTGAGTGTCCAATGAAGGGATAATATTTGAGCCCGTACGACCTGGCAGGTAAATTCCGATTATTATTATTATACCAGTTTTATCATGATTTTAGCATAGTGACACAAAGAATGAGTTACTAGCATTAACTATTACTATAACAATCCATACTCTCCACTATGAATTCATTATCTTTGACAGTGACTTATTAAGTATAAGAGGTTTTTCATTGATATCACAGCTTCTGCCTGAATGTGAAGAGAAAAATTCATTGATTTCTGCACTGTTATCACATTTTCTGATATCAAAATCTGATTCATCATCAGATTCCATATTTATATTATCATAAGTATTAGTATCTTCACATGTTTCTCTCTGAGACCATTTGGTATGTCTTCTGAATATGTAACTATGACTTTCAACTGTGATCCTACAGCAAGAACAGGATGAGCAACCCCATTATACATAAATTGTCATACTACACAAGTTTTGTATTAATATCACTCATCATAGTTGAGATCTTTATGAACATTGGATTTAATGCAAAACTAGGGAAAGTGAGCCTTAATGAATGGCAAAGAGTTATATTAACTTATGCACAGAAGAAAAAGATCTGTGCTTTGCTTTCTCAAAAACCTGCTCCGACACAAACTGCTGTTGCGTATCAATACAGAATCAAGTAGTTATTATTATATGGAATAAACGAGACAAGTGGTTGGCCACTAATGATATTGAATTTCATCAAAAGAAAAAGAGAATGTAAACCGCAATACCCTGAAATTAAAGAGACCAGCGAGTCTGTCGATGCATTATTAATTATTTTACTCAAATAATTAACGCGTTATAGTTACTATTTTTGGTATATATTTGCAGATCTATCGAGTAAGAATTATTGACTTAACTTGGACAAGAAAATCAAAGATTGACTGTACTTTCAAAAAAGGATAACACAAAAACCAGTAGACTGCAATGTGTTATTGCATAGATGTTAATGGAAACTACTTTGATAGAATCAAATAGTTTTTTGAATAATTGTATTTTGAATTATCAAAATAAAGAATCAACAATCAAAACTTTTCAGCCCCCCCCCCCCCTCCACGTATTATATCATTCTCAATTTAGCATACTTTGTCAGTTAGCAAAACGAAAATATTCTGCGCCATCGCCAGCATCATCACCTATGCCGGAAACATATAAACCATCTGAACTTAAAATGACGTTTTTGCTGTATTAGATAATTTATACGAATAATTGATCTAAATTCATGGATTATTATCTTGGTAAGCAGTAATGCAATTGACACACTCGGTCCAATGTTCATAAAACTTCAGGCAGGCAGTTCTTAGATTTGAGAAATGGTTTAGCCCCACAGCGAAATGAAATATAGACAATTTTCTATATTTTCCAAAATATTTTGACTTACACTTATTAAAATTTGAGGATGCATTAATTCAATTTGCCTTTTTCAGGCCACATATTCATTTGAGCTTCATACCATCTTTTGTATCCCCACTCTTAATTATATTTCTATTAAAGTATGGATAACGTCAGTAACAGTAGACAAAGAAAGTGCTCTTACAGATGCAAAAAATTTAGATTTGAAGAAATTGCGTATTCGTGTTGCGAGATTTCCTTCTTTAGAAGAAGCATTATACAAGTTTACGCAGTCTAAATGTTCCCGTTTCTCAAGACATTTTAAAAACCAAGGCAATCGAATTTTATAATAGATCTAAAGAAATGGGCCACGACTTCTAATTTTGAAGCATCAAATGGATGGTTGGAGAAGTTTCAAAAACGATATAATATTAGTAGCAAGCACATAACAGGCGAAAGTAAATCAGCATGCTTTGATCAAGTGGAAAATGGAAGGAAACTTTTACAAATAATAGCAACATTTAACCTAGAAAATGTCCATAATGAAAGGTGATGAAACTGGTCTTTTCTTTTGACTAGGTCCAAACAGAACTCTTGCAACAAGGAATGATAAAGCAAAAGGCATAAAAAAAAGATAAAGAACGTGTTACAGTTCTACTTTGTTGTAATGCAATGGGAACGAATAAGCTTAAACCTTTTGTTATCGGCAAATTTAAAAATCCTCGTTGCTTTAAAAATGTCAACTTAGCTACGCTACCTGTCCGATATTCTAATGATAGAAACGTATTTCTGGTTATGCGTACCTTCTCATTATTAAACAATCGAAACAAATTCTAGAGCATTCAGTTAAACTTACGTGGAGCCATGCTGGCCTTGCTCCGCCAAGATAGATTAATTAGTTGCCCTCGCACAACGTTATTCATACTAAGAAATGATTGTACACGTGATACAAAATCAGACGCGTGGAATGAGTTCGCCATTACATCAACTCTCTGGATTAAAATCGCTCTCTAAAGCAGTGGCTTATTTCTTAGCTTGTTGGTAATCAAAACACAATCGGTTTACTCTCCATAATCCAAGTGACTTATTCTCTTTTATCGGCTTTGCCGTGGTTTAATAGAATTATCAGTTTGAGCGTTGGAGGCTTTGCATCCAGTGGTGCTTTTGACCGATTGGGCAATCTTGTGCCTTTGATATGAATAATCACAAACAAATACAAACACACATTACAATATATTAACAAACAACGTCAAGTTACGTGCAATCGTACAAAAAGAAACCTAGTTAAATCAGAAATTAGAGGAAATGATAAAGAAAACTGTTATAACGTTTACGTTTTATATGTTTTATGACGAGTTTTATGCGTGAGTTAAAGTATAGAGCTAAATTCCAAGGTCAGCTAATCCCACTCAGCTGGCACGACTGAGGTAATTGAATCACGATACAAGTGTAGGTAAAACTCAAGAGAAGGCGTATTGCGTTTGGGTATTAACAGCGCTCATGTATTAACCTCGAATAAATTCATTGCTGAGACAGAATGAGACATAAACTATATTCCACCTGTAAGTGCATAGTTATCACACCATATGTCAGAATAACCCTATATTCAAGAAGAAAGTTACTATGCATTTGCGATGTGAGACAGCTGTCATCAAGACATCTGCTTCACGCTACAAAGACTCGCTTCGTATTGATACGCAAGTAATATTCCTATTATAGAGGACTTTAATTCGAGAATGTTTCTGTCTTGAAACATTGATTAGTAAATATTCTTTGTCATATATTCTCGTGAGAACAAGACAACCTTTTCTATATTGTTAACTTTTTCAAGTGTCAAGAAATAATTACTTCAATACATTTATTGTTTTAATATCTAAGTTAATACAAGTAAAACTTAAAGGTTATTTTCAACGCTTCTTAGTAGTCGTCATTGCAGCTCAAGATACAACTTGCCAACTAATTATATTATAAATAATGTGTCGTTCAATTAACGTTTGACATCGTTTAGCAACTAACACGAATGGTGGTCATATTTACATCTAATTTATTTGTAATTCTAACATTTTGGGTTCACTACCAATGCTATAATAATAGTATATTGGTATTATAATTAGCAAGCATATTTATTATCTCCAAGACGTAGTCTTTCCCGTCTTAATAAAGTATAATAATAATGTAACGGAGAGCCAAAACAGTAAATATGATCTACTTCAAGAATGCATTATTCAACATAATCATATTACTGATGAGGAATTACAATAACAGGTAGACTCAAGTTAGTCATCAAAATTACTCGTTCATTGTCGAAGAATCTACTGTATACAGTAATTAATAACTATCTTATCAGCGGTGAATGCGGGTACCAGTGGGCGATTCTCCTGAGATAAGAAGGTGTAGTTCTCTTATGCGGTTTCTTTTACAAACGGCAAGGATTCCGGTTCACTTTTCGTAAATGCTTTATAAATAGTATAAATAGCATAGCCAATAAAAGCACCAGCCGTAGACAATATCGCCATCCCTTTTAAACCCAGGCCAGCTGCGCCGATGCTCTGAAAAACTGCGCAAGCACTTCCTGCTGCCACATTTCCGCCATAAGTACTCATAAAACCTGCTGCCGTCGAACCGGCCGTAATCCCTGCAGTTGTAAATCCAGTCATAGTTATGATAGCCGAGGTAGCTAATGGTATTGCAACCGCACCGACAACCATAGCGACAGCAACTTTAGGAATAGGCTACAAATAACAAGAGTTT